AGCGAATTCCAGACTCGGTCGCGGATCAGGCGGTACTAGTATGGAGACGCGCGTCGCGTAGGCTCGCAGGAAGCAAAATTAGGCATTATGAACTGTGAAAAGTTTCAACGAAATGTTTTTGCGTTACATATAGAAACCGTTTAACCATAGATTACAAAGGCATCGTCTGTTAGACGACGTAACTATTGCTGAAATCCTACCCCCTTCCTCCCAATACCCGTTTCCGAAACTGTGTAGAAGCCCCCGATCACCCGTAGCACCCTGTGTAGAAGCAACTTCTAGTGAACAACTATCTCCACCCCTCCGGTTATATTTCGACGACTCCAGGGACATATCTCGTAACATTTTCTACAATCACAGGACTAATGGTTGTAACAGTAAAGGCGCCTCGAAACACAAAATAATCAAACAAACAATCAATCGAACACGTTGGTATGTTGTTGTTTGTTTTTTTCTTGCGCGCGTGAAATGACTTTCCCAGTATATTTACCCCGAGTGCGTCACAGTCGACCTCGCGTCCGGGCTCTCGCCTCGAGCGACGTGTCCGGCTGCGGCAATCAGCGGAGAGAGCTGTGGCCTGCGCGGCGCGGCACGGCACACGACAGAGCGGAGGGGAGCTTGAGTGCGCTGCGTGTTCAAATTTGTCCCCTGCGCACGCATGATGGAGCGCGACACACCGCGAACCTGTTCCACTAAGACGGACACCGTGCCCTACAAATGGCTATTGTAATGGCACCGTGCTCAATGCTGGTCGCCGGGCATGAGTTTGGAACGCGGACCTCGAAGCAAATCGCACGGCTGTGTTCTGACAAATGGCAATGTGTTTCTCTTGGCTGACTCTGCCTCGAAGACACAAATGTTCGTGATATTTGTCTGGGCTTACTTCGAAGAATTTACGTACTTCATCATAACGTTGTTTTTAAAAACAATTTATTGTTTCATGTAAGCATCATGTTCAGAGACAAATATCCTTTAGAGAAAATCACACAAATTAAAATGACTACGAAAGAAGGCATACGTTAAATCCAAACTGCTACAAAAAGAATAAAATGTTAACAAAATGTAATGTCGTAATTCTTATATTTAACATTTCGAGTTCTTGTTACGTTGGGTCTTGTTTAAGTGAAAACATTTAATGCATTTGTAGGGGTTAGATAACTAATGCTGTTTCACTAACTCTTGAAATCAACTTAAGTCAATCTTTTTACTTATCCTTCTTATGCTATAGTTTGGGAAGGAAAATAATTGAAATTACCTCAGCAATACGATCTCGAATTTTCGATTGTAAAATGTATTGAAGATCTATTAGCGTTCTTTTAAAGATAATTCAGATTTATGTTGAATGAACGAAAGGAGATACAAGCAATTCTGTATATAAAAATTGGGATGTCTATCTGTATAGTGTTTTTGTCACGCGTAAATGTCATATGACTAGCGTTTAAGTAGGAACTTTGAAAGTACACAATGAGTAAAATCTATTTGTTCTGAAGATCATTAAGATATTTTAATTTTTTAAAGGTCGTTTACACGAAGCCCCTGTGACATTTTCATTTTTCTGGAAAACGAAAATAGTTTTTTTTAATGTTTTTGCTCAAATAGAAGAAAGTACATTTATAAATATGGTATAATGTTCATTTCCATTAAAACCTCTTAAATTTAAATAACTGCAAACATATTTATATTGAAAAGAATTGCAATGGATGATTGTATTGTTTCAGAATTTGTCATCCTCCCTCATTTCATTAGTATTCGAGACTTGATACTAAACGGCATTAGAAAATGTTTTGATATTTTCCGTGAAGTTTATATGAAGAACTTTTCTATAGAAGTATTCCACACATATCTAAATTTCAGCGTGCACCCTTGAAACTGTATACGTCCCAAGTTTCCAAGATACTTTTAAATCACATTGATTCTAGTGGTTTCAATGTCTGGTGACGGTCCAGACATATATGTCTCATAACCGCGTTTCAAAACATTTTAATAGAGAACTAATGATGCTACAGCACGGCATGGACTTTCCCGTATTATTCTTCTATTATATTTGGTATACGCTTGCTGAATGCAATTTATTTTTGCTCAAAGTACATTTTAATTTTTTTCTCAAATTTCCCGGTCTAGGAATAGTAGAAGAGAAATGTTACTTTAAAAATATTTAAGAAGAGTGAAACCTCGTCATAAATGACATTTTTCATTGCAAAATTTGGAGCCGTTTCTAAGATGATGACGCTTAAGCGTTACTGTAAGTACGAAAAATTGAAGCTCTTTACCTCAGGAATTGTTTGAATTTTCGATAAACTTTATTTGAAGTAATTTGAAGCAATTTCATTCACAAGTGCAATAATGTATACACATTCCTCGAAATGTGGATTGTAACGGTGTGAGAGATTAAAAAATGTGTATTTTGTGATAAAAAATACATCAAAGTTAATTTTATGTCATCTTAAACAGTGGAATTAGCACTATCCGTTCCAAAAGTTGAAAGAAAAAATTGTAGCCATTTTTTAGAAAATAGCGTTCAAAGCTTTCTGAAGATTCGGAAATTTGTGCTCGTTTTCACAGAAACGTTTCGCGTTTTCGGGAAACTTTATAAGATATTATTTAGAGAATATGTAGTCGTAAATGCAATTGTGCTAAGAAATTGCCGCCAATGTAAATAGTAATAACGTGAGAGGCTGGTCAAAAAATTTAATTCTTGTAATTTTTGAAAAAATAAAAAAGGGGTAAATGATGTTTATGTCATCTCATAGCAAACATTTAGCACTATCCATACCAAACGTTTAAAAAACAAGAATTATTTAGAAATTAATTAATTATTTAGAATTTAATTAACAAGAAATTATAGAGAACGAATTCCATTTGAAGGGAAATATCAATTTTTATTGTTCTAGTTGTAAGAAGACGCCGGAAAAATTTAACCTTTTCAAATTTTCGAAAATTTGGAATTGGCCATGAAAATCGCAGCTATGCCACGTAAATTCAGCATTTTCAGAAACAGTCAGAAACGCCGTTTTCTGAAAACCTACTGGTTTCCAACAGATAGTGCTAATTCAACTGTTTATGATGACATAGAATTAATTTGCTGTATTCATTTGCTTGTTTTTTTTAATTACACAAACGTAATTTTTTGAAAGATCTCTCACGCATTTAATATGCACATTTCGAACAATTTGTAAACACTACTGCATTTGTGACTAGAAATACTTGAAATTACCTCATATAAGGTTTTTTGAAAACTCAATAGTTTTCTGTGATAAGATGTTCAAATTTTGCATTCACAGTAACGCTTTAACATCATTTTCTTAAAAAGGTTCCAAATTTTTCACAGAAAATTGTCAATTAAGACGAGGTTTTACTGACCTTTATTATTCTCAAAAGAATATTTCCGTTTCTACTATTAGAAAGCCAATATATTAGGATTTTTTAAAATGTATATTGGGCGGCGATAGATGGCAGCAGGCAAGAGTATGCGGCAAGTTCGAATAGCTAACCGAGACCAATAGAAATAGAAAACATGGGAAAGTCTGAGCCTTTCTGTAGCACCACTAGTTTTCATTATGCGAGGGTTTGATGAAGAATCGATTAGAATAGATTTCGATTGAAATTTGACACTATATTTGATTTTGAAATTAAAGATTGTTTCTTAAAGAAAATACATTCTCGGTCGTTAGCTGTATGATACTCATGACAAATACAACATAAAGGAGTAGAATTTATTGTTATTTACCATTATAAATAATGATGTTTTTCAGTACATCTCTCACAGCAAGATTCTAATGTACAGTTAGCTTGTGTGTGATTGAAGTTTTGGCAGTTTTTACAATGTATAGCAAAACTAGATTTAGAACGAAATTTAATTTTCCCAATACTATTACATAGTTTAACAAGTTTTATGATATCCATATTGAGGACGTTTTCTATGAGCTCAAATGCACAGATTGCTAATGGTTGTCGATTTGTAATAAATAGTCTACGAAGATACAGATACTCTTGTATATACAGATATAATAGTATATGTTTTGGACAATTCAGCTCTAATTTTTTCGTTTGAGAAGAAAATAGGAATACCATATAACATCGCTGTTCTCTGCTTTGGATCACGATATAAAATATCTAACTTGTTTTGTATGGAAAAAGGTTCTGTAGTTTCGATAATCATCTATTGAGTCAAAATATATGGAGATACAATCACTTTTAACCTTGTAATTAAAACATAATTGTGCGATTTGTTTCATTTATGAAATAAATGAACAAAAATTACTAAAGATCTTGGCAGTATTTTATATATTAATTGGAGGAATGGAAGTAGTATATTGATTAGATTGAATAGAGAAGAAGAAGTAGAATCATCTCTTTCTTCTAGAAGTTCGTTAAATTGATTAGCAGTAGAGACAGAATATAAAAATGATGAATCATCATTTGCGTTTGGAACTTTTTGATCAATTGTCGAAAGTTGCAAAATTCAAAATTTGTTCAACATCTTCCTACAACTACAATGTTGAATTTTTTTTCTTAATGAAATATGTTCTTCAAAAGCAGTTCTTCAAAGGATGTCATTTTCAATATTTCGAAATCAATCAAGATCATTGATTTTCAGGTGGTAATGTAGCACTAGTAGAAGAATTCGCCGACTCACTTGTATTCAGTATAACTGCTTGTTTTTAATTAATAAATTCCTATTGAGAGTGAAGTTTTTGCTGTAAACCTTGAGTGTGATGTTTGAGATACATAATTTCTTGCTCTAAAGCGTAGATATTTGCTTGAGATGCCTTAATAAGCTCATTAGTAGTAATTTCAGGAACTTTGTATACTTTGAAATTTCGAGGTAATTTGGATTGTTTACGACATTGAGTGCATCGGTTATAACTTGCCCAATATAGCCATTCAAATTTTCAATTTTTACTGCTATAATAACTTCAATTTGTCTTATTTAAAGAATAAGCAGTTGAATCCAGTTTAATGGGATAACTTAAGTCTGTCAATGTGAACACAGTACTCACACGGTAGAGAAGAATAGAGTCCCGCTGTTTGGGGCGGCAGCCCCGTGGAACGCGCCGTGCTGCCGCTGCAGTGGAGTTGCCGCTTTGGATGTACAATACGCACTGGTTGGCACTGAACTGTTTCCTAGCGCGGCGGCCCTCGACGGTCGGAACGCAGCGCTCACTAACGCTCCTTGAGCTAGAAGAGCGAGCGGTCGGCGCGTTTCGTTACGGTGGCTCTGAGCGAACTCTCATTGACAAATCTAAATCGATTTCCGCATGATGATTGACTTGTATCACAACGTACATCTGCTCACATTATAGAGAAATTATTCCTTTCATGGTTGATCATGTTGTTTCGTCCTTTCCTGCGGCAGTTTTAAATGTTTGAGGTTTTCTCCTCTCATGCATCACTTACACTATTGTTGCCTCAACTATTTTCATATATATCTAACTAAAATTACGTCGCAGGCGTTACTCGGTACAGACGTATATACTTGGTATATGCGTACGTATACAGGAAAGTAAAAAGTTAATTCAAAAGAACCACCTCTCGTGCTTATCAGCATTTATTTCAATTGTCAGGAAGAGTAGTCATTTCTTACATTTAGAAATTAAACGAATATAAATAAATTTAAATGTTACTTCATGTACAGCACATAATACAGAGAAGCAAGAACAATTTCACACAAGCGAACCTAGATTACATTTGAAGTGAGCTTTCAATTTTTTAAATACCAGAATCAGCGATTAGAACTTCTTAAAATGTAAAAGTGTGTTTGTAGTTGAAAGTTAAATTTATTCCCTTCCTTGAATGTATTTCCTTTCATAAAAATATTATTACATCACACAATCATCATGACCGACCACAATAGGATGGAATTCGAAGAATTTGAAACCTGTGTTGCTATTTTCTGAACTGGAAACGCCTGCAACGAAACGCGCGAAATTCCAATTTTCAATTCCGGACAGTTTCCCAGAAAATTGTTTAAAATGGTTTTAAAAATGCTGATGTTTCATCTAAAATTACAAAAAAATACTTCGAAATATTGAAAATGATATCCTTTGAAGAACTGTTTTTGAAGAACATATTTCATTAAGAAAAAAATTATTTTCAAAATTGTAGTTGTAGAAAGATTAGGGCATTTAATTGTAGTTGTAGAAAAATTAGGGCATTTAACGAAAATTAAACCTGCATCATTCTGTCAAATGCCCTTCTCACTGTCATATAACAAAATTTAATCAAAAATGATAGAGCCATTATTTTGAAAATATGAAAAAGGTTCCAAACGCTACATGTAAGGTATGCCTCAAAATTAAAATATAGGTGTGTGGTGCGATATCGTTGGCATTTTTCATGAAATAATTATAAACGTTGTCATTGCCAACAATAGTTTTTATTATAGCCATATTATACCCATTAGGTAGTCGTTTTTGTGGCTTCCATTCAGCAGACAACTGATGATGATGGTTAAGCTATAGAAAGCTGCTCTTATAATAAAAACTATTGTTGGCAATGATCACGTTTATAATTATTTCTCAAAATTAAAATATCAGTTTCAAATTCAAGGGACTGGGACCCAAACCAGATCGATTGGGAAAATGAATTTTGGGTTAAATCAGGTTAAACTTTCATCCGCTAGCGTTGTTCAAAGACGGACCAACAGACGTTTTGCCTTCATTCTATTTTTCTATATCGAGAACCCACAAACATGAACTCTGGATACACCACGTGTTAGAATATTTTTCTCTAAATTTAGGAACTGTATTTAACAACTTTTTCGTTACCAGGGCTCGGCAATAAGAGTTTTTATTACAAAAAATCTCCGTTTTTTCCTGCAGCTTAAACATAACTTTCTTTTCTTAAGAATAACAATCTTAAGGGCGAAATAGTGAAAAATGGTCTTCATTGTGTATTGAAAACAGTTTAAAATTCCTGAATATGATTGAAATAGTATGGGTATAAAATTCGTAATTGGTATCTGTAATAAGCAATTGACAATGTTCGAACACCTTAAAACTTTATCACACCATACATGCCGTCGTTATAATCGACCAAAATGACAATCAAAAGCTTTTAAAGAAGGTTTCAGAATAGCCATAAAGTAATCTACAACATATTTTTTAGAACAGAAACACGTAATTAACATTCTAACTATGTTCGTAATCTAGTGACCTGTCATGAAAACACTTCTAATTGAACAATCGAACGTCATTGCCTGTTAATGGCCTTCATTATTGCCCTGTTCATAACATGTCAGCAACATCAAATTTCCGTAATATTCTCGTTTGTTTCTTCAGCGTCAAAACAAAATAGCCGTGTGATCGACAACGATAAAAGTAAAAAGCTTTGTGAAATTTGATTGCGTCATTCTAGAATTTACTCATAAATCCTAAATGATCGGTGAGAAATCATACAATGAAATGAATAATAGTACTTCTTTTTTACTATAATAATATATATTGTTTGTCTTAAATCAACATATTGCATTATTATCTCACATTACACATTATTTTATTAAAAGTCTTGTTGTTGTAATTGGTTCAATAAAAAACGGGCAGCCAGCCGTAAATTTTTTCAAAATTTTATCGTAATTGAAAATTAACTTGTATAGACTGTACATAAGTGATCATAACAACAATACTGCAAAATCCGTGTAATTAAATCATTGAGGTATTTAGTTAAGAACGATATTCCACTCAACCGAATTTCGTGATTTTTTAAAACGGGAGACATTGAGTTCCAGAAGGGTTTTTAACTTGCTATAATTAACTGGTTGTTTATTATAAACACTAGTTTTCAATAAAATTTTAAAATTACTAGAATAAACGTGTATCGAACATCCATTTATATATTTTGTCTTTTTGTCGTATCATCGAATCCTCAGTGATCTTCAAGAAATTGAAAATCACTAGCGTGAACAATCATTTGGAGGTTTAGAGCGCGAGATTAGTTAAGAGATTGAAAGATTTAGGGATTTTTTAATTCTAAAATTGAGTGTTTTTAAATGCAAAGGTTAGTAGGTGTATTATAAATGCAATATCCAGAAATACTCTGATTTGTGGCCCTTAATAAAAAGTTCAGTGATTATAATTATATGTGATACATACATGTGTGTAGCAGATATCCCAGAAAAGGTCACTACAATGTACATGTAAAGGTATTGGTAAAGATAAAACATTTTAACTTCATTTTTAGAAACGTGTTTAACACTTCAGTCAAAACACGTCATTGTTCCAGAGCTTGAAAACTTCCGTTATTTTATCAGTTTTGAACAATCAGAACAGAATGTTATAAAACAATAGTATTTTGGGAGTTTCAATTTTCCGTATCGTGCATACATGTAGCTTTACTACACTTCGTTAACTTTTTTATACCTCTTGCGTTTGTACAATGTAATGGCAAGGGTTAAGCTACTGCGTAAATAAATTGCCATTGCCGACTTGAAAAATTGTTCACCAATTAAAATTCTCGAAGGCCATTTTCCCAGAAAACCATTTTCATATTATTTAGGATTATGCACTAAAAGTATTTAAATTATTTTATTTCAATAGTCTATAAATGACATTTATGATACGTTATCTTCCTATTCAAAATAGCTACATAGCTTTATTCTCTTCCAGAGTTTTACAGTTTGCTCCTACATTCTGCTAAAAGTAAAATGTAAAAATCAATAACGAGAATTGTTCTTCAATTAAATATGTTGATGAGTAAGAGGTAGAATAAAAGATAAAGTAAAAATCTAATAGGAAAGGCCTTCTGTTTATCCTTTTTTATAGATTTCTCTCTTAGAAGTGTCTTAGAGCTTCCTCACTTCCACACTCAACATCAAACTAATTTGTTGAATGACATTTGTGTGTAATTTGATGTAAATTGACCTGCAATTAATTTATAGCCATTAATTTCTAAAAGTACGTTATCGCATTTATAAATAGCATTTCAGATTTTTAAAATACACAGAGATGAATTGTCTGAATTGTGATTCTCAAATACACAAAATTTCTTTATATTCCTCTTCGATTAAGGTCGGAGATATTTGAAAAAATCGAAGCAATTTTTTGGGCAGAATCAAAACATTTTCATTGCTTTTGGATTTTCCTAGGTAGCTAGAAAAACATAAATACCTTTAACATGGTACGAAGCTGCATAGTTTTATTTCAGATTCTGCGAACATTGTAAATTAGTAATATAGATATTTTTTCCTGTTTCAGGTGAGTAGCTGAATGTTCAACTCCAACTCATTGACAGTCAGGATGGTGAGTTACGTTTTCATGAAGCTTCAATAAAACTTATGCATTTTGCCAATAAATTATATAATTCTAAAGTATCCAATGTTTTTTGTATTTGTTGATTTCGTATCCTCTTTCATTTAAATACCAGATCAGTTCCTCACTGACCTAAGGGAGATTTAGTACAGCGCATACCGGCACCATTCGAATGACGTAAGCAAGTGAGTGTGTTTTTGAAAGATAAATTATTTAATATATTAATTTATCTCAGTATCACAGTCAAAATTTGAAATGAAACTTGATTATTAAAAGTATTTTCAATGTAGTAATTTAAGTTATAACAAGTAAGTGGCAGTTCTTATAAACAATATTTTCCGGGAGAAAGACACCACGATACACTTTTTTCTGTGGTTCGCATGAATTTATACGTCTAAATGTGTTTCTCCCAAGTATTTGTTACTGTCATTGTAGTCAGTATTCTTATGTTCAGTAAATTTTGTCAAGGACTGGTACATTTTCTGAGTATGCTTACATAATTTCATTGTTCTACCAGTCGCACTGTCAGATGAATTCAGTCGGGAAGAGCACGAATCACCGCTCTTTCTATTCGCTAAATAGTTCACGTGAGTCTAAAATTGTTGCCAACTGGAGAACGTGTAACGCGAGAAGAGCTTCACAAATAAACATATCTTGCCATTTATGCTACAGATGAGACAGCTTACGTGGCTCAGGGCATCACTTGATGTTACTACTTTGCCCCTGACCGGGTGGTCCTAATATTCCCAACGGTGTCTATGTCCCTATGGTGTAAGAGTCCCTACGGTGGCAGGATTTGCAGACTAACTTGTCTGAAAGAGAATTAGCGGAGACCAGTTGGAAGCTTAGAGCTTGTCCCGGATAGGGCGGTGCTCCGCTGGTGGCAGGTGCCTGGTTGGAAAAAATCACATTAGAAGACGTGAATATTGCCGC